CATCAAAATTTAGATGAATGAGAGAAGAAGATTTTGAAGGGATCTTTGGGATATGTTTTTCTGTTATTGTTGCATTGTTGGGTTTTTTTTGTGTGTGTGTGATTTTGTTTGTGGTTTGACTCATCATGGGAGACCAGAGTGTTCTGCATGACATCCAAGTATCCAACATTGGTTGAATTCAGGAAGAGACCAAGAGCAGAGTTGAGATGAGAACACATACCCTTATTTTAAAATAGAACATTACTGAGATTTAAGTCACATACCATATTGTTTACCCATTTAAAATGTATCTTTCATTAGGCTGTAGTAATTCTCAGAATTGTTGTACAATCAGCACTAGACACATTTGCTTTTTAGAATTTTTCAACATGCAAATGTTTTATGAATTTAATAAGTAAATCTATACAAACACAGAGATAAGGATCACCTTTTCCATGAAGCCCTCCCAGACTCCTACAGACACCCTGTTCTGTGATCAGCTTGTCTGCCAGCTCCTACCCCAGTGTTTTGTTTATCAAAAGACCTCTCCCTACCTTAGACGTTGAGCTTTTTTTTTTTTTTTTTTAAAGATTTTTTTTTTTTAAAGAGAGAGTGAGAGAGGGGAGAGAGAGAGAGAGAGAGAGAGAGAGAGAGAATTTTTAACATTTATTGTTTAGTTCTCGGCGGACACAACATCTTTGTTGGTATGTGGTGCTGAGGATCGAACCCGGGCCGCACGCATGCCAGGCGAGCGCGCTACCGCTTGAGCCACATCCCCAGCCCGACGTTGAGCTTTTTGAAGGAAATGATGGAAGACACTCAGTGTGTATGTGTTTGTGTGTGTGTGTGTGTGTGTGTGGTCTATCAATGTAAGCCTGGCATTCAAGACGAGTCCAAGATATGTTTGATGAATGAAGGAATCAAGTTTTTTTGCGTCAAGATCCATGGGGTAAGGTAGGAAGCACAGGTTTGTAATCTGGGGAGGCCAGAGGGCCACACAGTCCTCCTGGCTCTCATCCATATCTCTGCCCCCACCACACCTCATCTCATCTCCACCTCATCTATCATCCCACCTCCTCTGTATCACTAATCCCCTCCCCACTCCCTCTGGACCTCTGTTCCACTCCCATCCTTACCCCCATCCCCTCTCCAACTCCTTCTCCAAACCCATCTCCATTTTGCTCTCTGTCCATCTCTTTCTTAGACAGACCCAGTTTTTGAAATGTAGAGACACACAGCTGGCCTCTTGGGACCAGAAGTAGGAGTTTCGCCTCTTCATTTGAATGTCCTTCACTCCACTGTGACATTACTATGAAAGCAATTTTATTGACTATAATGATTACTACTATAGAATTAATAGGGACTGCGAAATCCAAGCTGAATGAGTGAAGGACTCATGAGTCTCTTGAGAAGCTAAATGAGATTGTTACAGTCAGAGGACCTGGAGGTGCAGAGGAGGAGGAATGCCACAGATGTTGTATACTTCCACCTGCAGAACCTGAGGGGGGGTAAAATGGTCAGTCATCAGCCACAGGCCAAGTATCAGAGTAGGGACACAGATAGGCTCCATGAGGAGGCTTAAGCCAGACTGCTGAGCAGGGTAGAAATGAACCTGTAGAGGACTGGGGTTGTGGCTCAGTGGTAGAGCTCTTGCCTAGCACACATGAGGCAGTGTGTTCCATCCTCAGCACCACATTAAATAAATAAATAAATAAAGGTATTGTGTCCATCTACAACTAAAAAAAAAGAAAGGAAGAAAAAAATGAACCTGTAGAACCCCCAGGAGCACACACACTTCCAGCAAGGTCTATAGGTTTATAGGTCCCTAGAAGGCCCACAATTCCCAAAGCTTCTTACCTCTAGATTTGTCCCAGAACTTTGAAATTCAGACCTCTTGGATCTTTCTGGGTTTCATTTCTCAGGGTCTGGTTGGTTCTTTTTTCTGGTGTGTGGGGGGTGGGTACCAGGGATTGAACTCAGGGGCACTCAACCACTGAGCTACATCTCCAGCCTGATTTTTTTAAGCAACTCTCACTGAGTTGCTTAGCACCTTGCTGTTGCTGAGGATGGCTCTGAACCTGCAATCCTCCTGCCTCAGCCTCCCGAGTTGTATGCCACCACGCCTGGCGTCTGGTTGGTTCTTGAGGCTGGAAAGATGTGGACTTAGAAGTAACTTTCCTGTTTTTTTCCTTAACATTAGTGGTGCACACCCTTCCTCAGGGTCCCTGGGCTATGCCCTTTGACTTCTGCAGGTAGCCCTATTGCACACTCCTAGGTCACAGCAGCATGCTTCCCAGCATATCTCAGCCTGGGGTCATGGATCCCCAGGCCCCATCCCTGCCTCTGGAGGAGCAGCTTTGCTTCCCTACAGAGTTTATTTTGGGAGTAAGAGGGAGTATCTCCACCCATCATGGCCCAAATTTCTTTAAATGAGAAAATGGAAGAATTCAGTACAAGGTATTTGTCTGGGCTGGAAGAGTACAGAGAGGCTGAATCATGGAGCTGAGGTGCAAACGGAAAGAATCAGCAATTGAAGCAAACAGGCTCTGCCTTTACCCCTTGCCATCTAAGCACTGTTCACCACATCCTGTTGAGAGTCACCACCTGACAATAGAGGCTCCTACACTGTTGTTTTTCATTATTCTTATTTTGGTGGGGGGGGGATACTGGGGATTAAACCTCCATGGCTTCATGTATCTTAGGCAAGAACTCTGCCACTGAGTTACATCCCCAGGCCTTTTTTCTTTTTTATTTTGTCTGTAATCCCAAATAGCTGGGATTACAGGCTTGTGCCACCATACCCAGAACACTTTTAGTATTTGTAGGAAAGTCCCCTGGTCAAAACCTAGTTTTTCTCCGACTCATGTGGTTAACAGGGGTCCACTTGTCAAGGGAGCCCCAGGATTCTATGTGGTCTGAACTCCAGGTTTGTAACCCCTCGGGTCACAAGCTGAATTAGACCCAAATCTTGTGTCCTGAGCTCTCCTCTTGCAATATCTTTTTTTAAATTTTTTTTTAGTTGTCAAAGGAACTTTATTTTATTCATTTATTTATATGCAGTGCTGAGAATTGAACCCAGTGCCTCACACATGCAAGGCAAGTGCTCTAAAACTGAGCCACAACCCCAGCCCCTTGCTGTATCCTTTTAATGTCCCAAAAGCTAGGTGGGTAGCCTGGGCTTGCTCCTGGGAAAGGAATCCCATCTCTTCTTTAAAAAAAAATTTTTTTAATTCTAATTTATTATGCATGATAGCATCCCATCTCTTCTTAATTTTGTGACCAACAGAAATGACAATGACAAGTGGGCCAACCAAAGAAGCAGACGTGTGGACCCCATGCACAGCATGAAACTTGGTCTTTGAGCCCTATCTCCTCCCTACTTTACTCCTGTCCCCAAACTTCTTCCTGGAAAAGATCCCACTTCTTCTTTATGCCTTTCCAAAGTCCACACCACAGGACTGGTGGCAGCCCCGGAGGCTGTTATGCTGACCAGACAAAGAAGGTCCCCAGTGGGAGGCACCTGCCTCATTTGCAGCTCCCAGGCTAGTGGCCTGAGCTCCTGAGGTCTTTAGGTTCTTACTCCCAGTGACATTATTGTCTCCTATGCTGGCTGCTTTAAAGTTATAGAGGTCACTGCCACCATGTCTCTGGGAACAGATGACCCTTTGTCATTCCACCCACAAAACCTCTTGAGGGCTGGGGCTATAGCTCAGTCACAGAGCACTTGCTTAGCATGTGTGAGGCACTGGGACTGGGTTTGATCCTCAGCGCCACATAAAAAAACTAAACAAATAAAGACATGCTGTCCATCTACAACTATAAAAAATAAAAATTAAAATTAAAAAAACTCTTGAGCTGCTGCTGCCACTTGACCATCCTTTTCCCTCCTAAAAGCACATGCCATGCGGCCTATGTAAATGTTGGGGACTTGGAAGGGGATTATTAGACAGATGACAGGATATGTGGTGCTGAGGATCGAACCCGGGCCGCACGCATGCCAGGCGAGCACGCTACCACTTGAGCCACATCCCCAGCCCCAGATGACAGGATAATAGGAGGAAGATTTTTATTCAGACAGAGAAGCAAAGAGACAAGAAGAGAGCTGTACAGAGACATATGTCTCTCATAAGAGATAACTAGGGATTGTCCTCTCAAACAAGATAGCCTCTGCCGGCCAAAGTTTCTCCAACACAGGGACAGAGGGGGACACCCAAATTGGGGGGATATAAGAACTGAGGCAGCAGGGACATAACTCTAGGACATTGGAGAAAAATAGCAGAGGAATGGGGAAGAGGAAGAAGGAAGGGAGAGACATGAGCTTAGGGGGGATCTTGCCCTAGAGCTTGACAGAAAAATAGGTCTCTAGAAGCCCTATCCTCATATCTAAGACCCAGAGCAGAAAAAAGTCTGGGATGGCCCAAGCAAGCTTCTGACTATTGAAAAATTGTTAAAAATATAGATTTTATGTATATTTTATGCAATAAAAAAGAAAAAGAAAATACCAGTCACTTTGGAAAACATTTGAGTAGTTGCTCAAAAGGTTAAACACAGAATTAACATATGTCCCACCAATTCCACTCTGAGCCATATACCCAACAGAAGGGAAAACATAAAGTCTGTACAAGAACATGAATGTTCCCAACATGATCTGGAAACAACTCAAATTCCCATCAACTAATAAATGAATAACTGGAAACAACTTAAAATCCCATCAACTAATAAATGAATAAACAAAATATAGTTGATCTACATGTGTTAATTATCTTTCCATTACTATAACAAAATACCTGAAGCAGCCAGATGCCGTGGCACACACTTGTAATCCCAGTGACTTGGGAGGCTGAGGCAAGAGAATTGCAAGTTCAAAGCCAGCCTCAGTAATGGCTAGGCACTACGCAACTCAGTGAGACCCTGTCTCTAAATAAAATACAAAATAGGGCTGGGGATGTGGCTCAGTGGCTGAGTGCCCCTGAGTTCAGTCCCTAGTACCACCCCCCCCCAAAAAAAAATACCTGAGGCAATTAACTTATGAAGAGAAAAGATTTATTTTCGCTTACAGTTTTGGAAGTTCCATTCCATGATTGATTGGTTATGTTGCTTTGGGCCTGAGGCAAGTAGTATATCGCGGCAGAAGTGAGAGGCAGAACAAACTCACTATGTCATGAGCCAGGGAGCAAAAAAAGAGAGAAAGGAGTAGGGATTCCACAATCCCTTCCCACACTCCCAATAACCTAAGGACCTCCCACAAACCCCACCTTCCAAAGATTCTATCATCTCCCAATAATACCACCAAGCCGTTAGGAGACATTCAAGATCCAAATTCTAGCAACATACAATGGAATATTATTTAGCAGTGTAGAAATGAAGCAATGATATATACTATAAAATTAATGCACTTCAAAGCATGCTAAGTAAAAGAAGCCAATCATGAAAGACCATATATTGAATGAATCCATTTATACAACATGTCCAGAATATAGATAAATCCATAGTGATAGAAAGTAGATTAATGATTATGCAGATCTGGGAAGGAGTGGGAGAGGGATGGGAAGTGACTGCTAATAGGTAGGGGTTGGGGTTCCTATTTTGTTTTTGTTTTTTGTTTTGGTATCAGAGACTGAACCCAGGGACAATTAACCACTGAGCCACATTCCCATCCCTTTTTTATTTAGAGACAGAGTCTCACTAAGTTGCTTAGGGCTTTGCTAAGTTGCTGAGGTTGGTGTCATCCTCTTGCTTCAGGGATTCCAGTTGTACGCCACCACACCAGCTAGGCATGGGGTTTCTTTCTGGAGTGATGAAAATGTTCTGGAATTAGTGGCAAAGGTTGCACAACTTTATGACCATATTAAAAAAAAACCCACTAAATAGTATATTTTGAAATAGTGGGTTTTAGGTTTTATGACTCGTATCTCATTTATAAAAATAAGGGAGAAAAGCTTAGAAAATACAAGAGTCATCTGGGGACAAGCTTGGTCACTGCTTCAGTCTCCTGGCTGGGTCATTCCTCCCCTCCCTGGGGAGGAACTCAGCACAGCTAGGACCAGCAAGACCAAGTATTCCTCTGTCAGGCATCTCAGGGTCAGGATGCTCCAGCCAAGGAGGAGGAGGCAAAGGAGGACAGTGGAAGAGAGAGGACCTTGACAGAGACATCAGGGGTGTGAGGAAGGAGAAGAGGGAAACAGGCTTCCCTGCCCAGTGTCCAATTGCTGCCCCAGCCCTTCTAACCTGACCCCAGGGCTCCTGGTCAGATTGGCCATCCCAGGGACTAACTAGTTGTGAGAGAAGCCCCCATGGGAGAAGGCAGGGAGGTCAGGGGCACAGGCAGCAGCTTGGGACAGGCAAGCCAGGGGGTTGATCCCACAGTCCCCAGCATCCTGGTCCTCCCGGAAGTAGACGGAGTCAGCAGAGTAGAAGGAAGGGTCCTCATCAAAGAAGTTGTAGGGTCGGAGGAAGAAGCCCACTCCATTCCCCACAGTCACCGTGTTGGGAATATCCTCTGCATGTGGGATGTGCAGAAAACCAGCTGTCACCCAGGCCACCAAGTCCTATCAGGGGGAGAAGAAAGAGGATCATGAGGTCAGGCTTTTCTAGGGATATGCCCTGCCTCCCCAAGTGGCCCTTCAGGGAAGGCTTCAGCTTACCAACCCATACTCCCTTAAATTCTCAGGGAAAAATGTGAAATCATCAAGGTTTGTTTTTCTAAGTGGGTTCTTAAGACCCCCCGAGGAATCTCACTGGTGAAAGAGAAGTGGCTCATTCCTGCCTTCTCCTCTCATTTCCACCTCATTCCTCGCTTCCCATTCAACTCACCTGCCCTACAATAGTCTCATTATTGATGAAGTCAGTGAAGTCCACCGTAGGTGTCCAAGGGTCATTCAAATTATAGATGCTGGTGCTACTGGGTTCCCCTTCCTTCCGCTGTGTCACAGCCAGCTGGTACCTGCAGGTAATTTTGTTTAGCTATACAAAGTCATCAACCCAAACTGCTGCCCAAAGCTGCAAGGAAGAGGGAACATATGGGCAAAATAAACATAAAGGTCTTGGTACTGAATCTCTTTATCATTCTCATGTAGTTCTCATTCTTCTCCAACCCTGTAGAGTTCCTGCATTTGTTCAATATCCTATACCTCAAACGTCACCTTGTTCACAATTCAGACTTTGGGTAGGAATGTCATTCATCCATGCTTCCAGATCAGAGCCTGGTGTTGAGCCTGGAGTTTGGATCCAAAATTATGGACGTGTCTTTTTTTTTTTTTTTTAATTATCTACTACTTAACTTTATTTTTTTAAGAGAGAGGGAACTTTTTTAATATTTATTTTTTAGTTTTCGGCAAACATAACATCTTTATGTGGTGCTGAGGATCGAACCCAGCGTCCCATGCTTGCCAGGCCAGCGCGCTACCGCTTGAGCCATACCCCCAGACCCCTTAACTCCATTAACTATGGTCTGGACCATTGTGACGAGCTGGTGATGTGTGATGTTGTGACAAAAGTGGTCCTCTCCTTTAAGGTTCTCGTAGATTAAGGAGGGAGACAGAGAAACAAGTACTTACAAGTATGAATGTAACAAAAGTCAAAAACAGAGAGCTGAGGCATGATCAGCAGAAGGAGCTGACCTAGAACTGATCATGGCCAAGGGACACTGAGAAGACCAGTCATGGTGGAGTAGAGGCCTCTAATATAATAAAACATTGGTCCCTTCCAGGTAATCTTTAAATCCTTGGAACTTCCTGAGTGAGGGCCTTGCCTGTTGTTTATGGGGCTTCCCTAACACCATGCCTGAGTTCATGCTAATGAGATGACTTAGGATGGGTCTGGTGACCCTGGAACTGTGTAATAGGGCCAACCCATGTGATTAGAACACTGGAGTTTTACCCATGGGATGTCAGTTAGTCCTGCAGGAAACAGAATTGTCCTAGAGGAGGAGATCAGTCATGTGGTCAATAAGTCAACTAATCATGCCTGTGTAATGAAACCCCAATAAAAACTACAGATATATGGACGTGTCTTGATTCCCATCTGAGGTCAAGTTCTCTATCTCAACTGCCTGAATATTAGGGATTACTTTCTCCAACCTGGGATCCTGTAACTCTTTGTTTTTTCCTCCAACCTTTTTTTTTTTTCAAATATTTTAAACATACAGAGAAGTTGAAAAGATTGTATAGTAAACACCATAATAACTACTGCCTAGGTTCTACCATTAATATTTTCTGTATTTGCTTGAATGCACCATATCTTACCTGTCATCCATCCATCCATCCATCCATCCATCCATCCATCCATCCATCCACTAATCTTCATTTTGAGCAACTCAAGATCCATAGAAGAGGATAGGTACACATGTACCCATTAAAAAAATAGAGCAATGAAAGCCCCTTTGTTCAGTCCACTTCCCCCAGCCCTCTCTGACAGCCCACCACTTACCTCCCCCAGCTGAAGGCTCTCTCCATGGAGCTGTTCTGGGGCAGTGGCTCCCCTGCAAAACTAAGTATCTGGATGCGGTAGCCTCGTGGGTGACCCCACTTGTTGCTGTGGTTGCTGGCCAGGTATAGGTAGCGGGGAGTGGCCCCTCCCAGGGGGAAAGCAGCCTGCTCCTCTGTTTCCAGCAGCTTTCGGGTCACCTGCATTCTCTGTACCTGGCGTTCAGGGTTCCAGGGCACAGTCGTGGGGACAAAGGCCATGTCTTCAGCCCAGACCCAGTTCTCCAGTCCTGTGTGGGGTGGGTGAGGGTGGAAGGCTGATCATGTAGTTGCCCTGGTCCCCCTGGAGTCCTCCGCCACCTGGCTTCAGAGGGGGGTCAAAGAGCATCCCAGGACAGAGTGTGGCCCCTGCTTCCCTTCCCTCTCCCCAAGATATCCCCAATGCACAGATATGAGAAGTTCTTCCTCACTTATGTCATTTTTAGTAATTATTCCAGATGACTTGGGACTGGGCCCCCACCTACATTTACCCTCTCAGTAATCACAAAACGGTGGTTTACCCAGTGTGCATGGCTCAGGGTGAGACTGCTCTGACTTGAAGAGAGGAACGGCTTCTCACTACTCAAGCCCTATGACATCACCTGAACTGCCTTCTCATGGAAATAAGACTCACACTTATGAAAGCTGAAGTTCTGTGCATGCACCATGTTGAGTGCTTTATATACACTGCCACTCTTATTTTTATGACAACCTTATGAAGGAGAAACTATAAACTGTCTCCACTTATAGCTGGGACAACTGAAGCATAGAGAATTTGAATAATGTGCCTTGGTGGTCAAAAGGATACATACTATTGTAGCAATGCTGGGGACCAAAATCTTGGTGTGATTTTTTAATCACACAGGAAGCCAGCCCAGAGCAATCCCAAAACACACACATATGGTCTACAGACATGGGGGCCAACAGGAAGGGAAACTATACGCTAGGCCTGACACTGTTGAGGATTAGAGGCATCTCCTATAGTTTAGAACATGACAGAGAGTTGGGAGTGGGGCCAAATTTACAATTTGTTCCCTGAACATTTGGAGTTTTGAATTATTTTATTGCAGCCTAACTAGGTCCCATATTAGGAATCATCTGACATGATCTGAGATCAAAGAGCAATAAACCAAAACATGCTGGCTAATCCCTCCATACTTTCTGGGGACCAGGAGAGTCCAGAGATTGATTTAGCAAACCTTAGTTTCCTTCTGTGGATTTACTGCCCCTAAACCACAGTCCAACGTTTTCACCCTTAGAACACAAAGACTAAGAGTTCTTTTTGATCCATCTAGAAGAGGGTTCATGAGGCTAATAACAATAGCTGATATTTCTAAAGGACTCACCATGTGTAAGCACTGTTCCAAGTGCTTTAAAAGTATTATCATTTAACCTACAGAGACAAAGGTAGAAGTGTGTGTATTTGTTGGTTTGAGTATATACTTAAATTTTATTTTCTTTCTGTTTTTTTGGGGGGGGGGCGGGGGGGATGGTACTAGGGATGGAACTCAGGGGCACTGGACCACTGAGCCACATCCCATCCCTATTTTGTATTTTACTTAAAGATAGGGTGTCACAGAGTTGCTTAGCACCTCACCATTGCTGAGGTTGGCTTTGAATTCACGATCTTCCTGCCTTAGCCTTCTGAACCACTGGGATTATGGGTATGTACCATCATGCCTGGCTCTGTTTTTTTTTCTTTTACTTCCTCTTCCCCTCTTCCCCTCCTCCTCCTCCTCCTCCTCCTCCTCCTCTTCTTCTTCTTCTTCTTCTTTTCTCTCTCTCTCTCTCTCTCTCTCTCTCTCTCTCTCCCCCCCCCCCCGCCTATCTCTCTTTATCTCTATCTCTTTCTTAGTACTGAGGAATGAACCCAGGGTTTCACACATGCTAAGCAAGCACTCCACCACTGACCTAATTCCTCAGCCAAATATACCTAAATTTTCCAAGTCCTCTGGCAAGGCCTAAAATCAATGCCATCCCAGTAATAATGAGCACACCTGGTGTCCAGATCATGGTTTCTAAATACCATTCTGCAATAAAAGGAACCAGAGCTCTTTAGAGAAGTGATTGGTTGCAGGACTAGAGCAGGGAAAATCCTATATGAAATTAAAATATCTTGTGGTGTTGGAAAGTAAGGAAGTACTCAAAAAAGTATGGAGGCATGTCCAAAGGACTTAGAAACCAACCTGAAGGACTTCCTGATGGCTAAAATCAGAGCAATGTAAAGAACAAAACAAACGATAGTACTGGGTTACAATATAATAAAATAAATAGGAGTTCATAAAATTATGAATAAACAATTGAATACATAAATAAATGAAAAAGGAGGAATGACTCTTCCTTATGCCAAACTTCAATGAATAAAAACGTAGGAGGGTACTGGGGTTGTGGCTCAGCGGAAGATTGCTCGCCTAGCAAGTGAAAGGCCCTGGGTTTGATCCTCAGCACCACATAAAAATAAAATAAAGATATTGTGTCCATCTACAACTAAAAAATAAAGTATTTAAAAAAATTGTTCTATAATTAGACATTGTAACATTTGAGGAAAAAAAAAGACATAGGAGGGCTGGGGATATAGATCAGTTGGCAGAGTGCTTGCCTCATATGCCCAAGGTCCTGGGTTTGATTCCAGCACCACACACACACACACACACACACACACACACACACACACAAGACATAAGGAAAAATTTAATAGATAAATAAAATATTGTACATAAACAGCCTTTAAAAAGAATTTGTTTGTAATAAAAGGGATGAACCTGGAAGACAGTGTGTTAAGTGAAATAAGCCAGGGAGAGAAAGACAAGACTGCATTGTCTCATTCATGTATAGACTCTGAACCCATAGAAATGTTGGTTATCAAGAACTAAGGTTCGGGGTGGGGATTAGGGAGATGTTGGTCAAAGGATATAACATTTTGGTTAGTTATGAGGAATAAATTCAAGAGACTCATTGTAGAAACTGGTGACTATTGTTAAAAATCTTATATTATAAACTGGGTGCAGTGGTGCACGCCTGTAATCCCAGCAGCTCAGGAGGCTGAGTCAAGAGCAAAACAAGGTCAAAGTCAGCCTCAGCAATGGTGAGGTTCTAAACAACTCAGTGACACTCTGTCTCTAAATAAAGTACAAAAATAGGGCTGGGAATATGGCTCAGTGGTCAAATGCCCCTGAGTTCAATTCCTGGTACAAAAAAAAAACTTATATTATATTCTTGAAAATTGCTAAAAGAGTAGATTTTAAGTGCTCTCATCAGAAAATAAGAGATAAGTAGATGAAGTAATGCATGTTAATTAGCTCCATGTAACCATTCCACAATGTATACATATTTCAAAACAACATGTTGTACTTGGTAAATGCATAAATTTATAGTTGTCAATTAAATATCTTTTAAAAAGGCAAAAAGTCTAAATGACTAGTAGGGAAACACCACAGTAATAATAGTTGTAAGCAAAATCTTCCAATAGAGGCTAAAATTAGTGAACAAAAGTTTGAGGAAAAAATAGAATATTTGCATAACATCAAAGTATTTTCCCCAAGATATTTATTAATTGAAAATGTAAAATATTAACTTTTATGAGGGAGAAAGCCAAAAGACGCATTTTAAACAAGTGCATGAGGCCAACATCATTAATAATAAGACATATCGGGGCTTGGGTTCTAGCCCAGTGGTAGAGCACTTGCCTTACATGCATGAGACACTGGTTCAACCCTCATGCCACATAAATATATAAAAAATAGACCAAATAAAGGTATTATATTCATCTATAACTAAAAATATTAAAAAAAAATAATAATAAGACATACTAATATCATGTACCCCTTGATATGATGCACTGAGAAGGACATACATCAATTTTGTGGTTTTCTTGCCTCCCAAAATGTAGTTGCAATCTAACCATGACAAAACATCAGAGAAACCCAGATTGAGAGAGAGTTTACAAAAATAATTGACCCGTGTTATGGAATGCCAAGGTCATGAAAGAAGGAGAAACCTAAAAAACCATCACAGGTTGGACGAGACTAAGATATACAACATCTAAATGCAATGCAGAGACTTGGATTAGATTCTGAAACAGAATAAGAACATTAGCAGAAGAACAATTAAACTCTCTAGATTAGTTAATGGAATTATAATGTTAATCTCCTGCTTTTGATCCTTACTTATGATTATATAAGATATCAACATTATAGGAATTTGAGTGAAGAGTAGATGGGAATTCTTTGTACAATGTTGGCAACTTCTTGGAATATCTAAAATTATTTAAAAGCCACCCAAATTTGAAGTAGTTGTTAATTTTATAAAGAAGGCACTGTTAGGCGTTGGAGTTGTGGCTCAGTGGTAGAGCACTTGCCTGGCATGTGTGAGGCCCTGGGTTTAATCCGCAGCACCGCATATAAATAAAATAAAAGATCCATTTACAACCCCCCAAAAAAATTTTTTAAAAGAATGCACAGTTATATTATTTTTATGCTTAAGTAAACTGAGGTAAAGAGATGTTAAACCTAAAAAGTTTCCATCATACACATCTTTGTCGGGAACTAGAAGGACATTCTCCTTCAAAGATTAGCCTGACAGCCCTCTGGGAGACATTCTGCCCTGAAGGCATCCTGCAGCTACCTATCTCCCTGGAACACCCTGCGGTTATCAGGATCATCAGACATCTTGCAGCTGGCAGTTTTACCCACCCACATTCAGCAATTTCGAAGAGTTTCCCCATCCCCAGCATATAAATACCCCTGTGTGAACAATAAAAGTTTGCAGCTTGATCAGAACTTTTGTCTTGCTGTCACCTTTCGTGTCTCTTGTCCCTTCATTCCTCCCCATCTAGGTTCGCTGCCCACGTTGATGTGTCCTGCCAGACGGGACACATCTTCCCAGAACCTCTCCAAGCATGCTCTAGTTCTCCATTATAAAGCAAGCTTTCTGGAAACAAGAGTGCATTTCTTTAGTTAATTTGTGTAGGGGAGGGCTTGGCACAGGTATGTTTTTAGTAAACATGCATTGTTAACTTGAATGACCTTGTGATGAGAAAAGATAGAAATAGCAAAATATATGTACATTATAATCCCATTTTGATATAGAAATCTAACTATGTACACTAGTATCTCATATTTGTATCATGATACATCAACCACAGAAACATTTTTAAATATATTTTTTAGTTTGTAGTTGGACACAATTTCTTTATTTTATTTTTATGTGATGCTGAGGATCGAACCCAGGACCTTGCACATGCTAGGCGAGCGCTCTACCACTGAGCCACAATCACAGCCCCCAGAAACAATTTTTTAAGTATGAAATTTTTCTTTTCAGTATAGGAGAATATGAACCTGGTAAGAATGAAAAGCTCTGAGCAGGATGATTTTTGCATATCCTTTTATATTTTATTGTTTCAAAGAAAACTTTTAAAACTGGCCATGGAGACTTCAGGCTACTCCTCTGGCACCTTTGTCCCCATCAGGATATCTTACCTGCCACATCCAGATCCACCTTGAAGTGGGCACTGTGGGTGTGAATCGTGCCCAGCGTGTGCTCCCCAACTCGGTTCCCATACCTTTGAGCAGCACCAAAGAGGAACGAAGAGCTGATGTAGCCCGTGGCATGGACTTTGACTTCTATGGCCCCGTTGGGGTGGAAGATCATATCCCACACATAGTCATAGTTGAGCATGGTGGACACAGATCTGACGACCAGCACTGTCTCCGCAAGGCCCCCAAAATAGTAGGAGTTGAAATCTGAGTGGTGTCGCCGCAGCGGGAGGCCCTGATTCTGTTCAAACACACAAAAGGCATCATGTATTGTCTTGGGGGTCTGGGACTCCAAAAGGAAGTGCCAGTCCACATATGTGGCCAGGTAGGGGCAGTCCACCCCACGTGTCAAGGGTGTGGAGTAGTTGCCTATGCCAAAGCTACCATCTGTGTAGCGGGTTCGCATTGCAGCTGGAGAATTTCCACCATAGATGGTCACGGCCTCCTGGACGCTGACTTCATAGGCCACCCTCTCCCCTTGGAAACGGATGTCAAAGATCCTTGGGCCACTGAAAGCTCCAAGGCCAAAGGAGAAAGTCCACATTGAGGAGGCCACTTGATTCCCCTGGACACTGAAGCGGGGACCCTGGGGATGGAACTGCAGAGGGGGAGCCCGACCAGGGGCCACTGGGGACTTCAGGGACCAGGACCCACCTGTGCCATTGTCTGGGATTACAACCACATTCACCAGGCCAGCCTCAAATTGGTCCTCTAGCTGGGCCAGACTCTCATAGTAGCGGCCTTGATAGAATACCTTCTGGATGGTCCAGTGGGCAGGGTCCAGGGCCTTGTGGTCCACCAGCAGCTCCAACCCCACAGGGTGCAGGAAAAACCCAGCCCCTGAGAGGTTGTAGTAGAGGCCAAACCAGGTGGCCCGGTCCCCTGATTGTAGACCACGGGGGGCTGTGTTCATTGTCATCAAGTTTTTTCTCTGGATTTTGTAGAAGCAGCAGTGGTGAAGGAGTCCCTTAGCCTGGGGCAGTTCTCTGTTGAAGATCATCTGGTCTATGTCCAGGTATTCTCGGATCAGCACAGGGCGTCGGTGGTAGGGCAGGGGGCCCCCATGACGCTCCACAGTCACATCCCGCATGTAGGAGGGGTGAGGCAGTGGCCCCACCACCAGTTCACTCACATTGGGCTGGGGTTGTCCGCCAAAGAAGATGATGGCCAGCGCTTCTCGGGCAGGTGGCGGGCCCCCTCTGTCCAAGTGGGTCAAGGCTGCAGCCTTGGGGGGCAGCTGCAGCTCCACTGAGAAGACACAGTTGTCTGAGGGGCGAGCCTGGGCTGCATCCACCAGCCCTGGCCCCAGCTTCTGGGCTAGAAAACTCATCACAGCTGTCAGCTCTTCGGGGCTCAGGTCTGCAAACAGCTGGCCCTGGGCAGGGTGTGTCCAGGGCTGGGCACTAGGAGGAATGGAGGGGCAATGGGGAGCCAGGCCTGGTTTACATTCCCTGTCACTCCCAGCCCCATCTTTACACATACCTGTCACCAGAACACTAAGTAGGTAAAAAATAATAAGGATAGCCATCTCTAAAGCTGAGGGCTGTCTCCAGGCTCTGATTCTGAATGCAGAACAGAAGATAGACAGGGCCTGAGTGTAGGTTGCCTTTCAGTCTCCAGAGGGTAGTGGTCTCTGGGCAGTACGGCCAGCAAGAGGCATGATAGTAACAGTAATGGGAATGACCAGCAACCCAGAGCAGAGGGGTGGAGCTGGAGGGGACCAGGGCTCAGGTCAAGTACAGGAGGTGGGGCTTAGATAGGACCCTGGACTTTGTATAACCCACACAAGCCTCCTGTTGCAAATCAAACAGCACACTCAGGGTCAGGCACATAGCTGGCAGGGTGGGTTTTGGAGAAAACAGCTGGCAGGAGGCAAGAGGAAGGAGAAGCCACCCTGTCCTGGGGCTCTTCCTTCTCTAGGCTAGTGATGAAATCCTGGTACAAGGCCACCAGGAGAAACTCACCTGCCTACCCCTCTGTCAGGTTCCCTCCTTCCCTCCTCTAGTTTGTGACACCCACCAGGCTGTGATTCCCACCACTGTCTCCTGCTCCCCCCAGCAACCAGAATCCTCCTGGCAGCCCAAGTGAAGCTGGAGAATAATGAGAACAATACAAAGCATCCAGGAGGGACTATTCTGAGGCTAAGCCAAGTACGTTTTGTGGAAGCCGTAAGCACCCTAAATCTCTGGAGGGGATTGTACAGCAGTGGCAGTAAAAGGTCAGACAAGAGATGTTGATGCTTGTACCATTGTGCCATTTTTTCCTTGGGGGTGGGTGCTAAGACCCTCACATTGTTACTGCCAGGCCAGTTACCAGTGACAAGGACTTCTCCTTCCTCAGATATGAAGATTGATCACCTGGGAAATGCCCAGGCAAGCTAGTAAACTAGTTTTATTTAAAAAATAGTAACACAGACTTCTTCGCACAGAAGGGGGCCTAGAACTGGGTGTCTGTGGGAGGAGTGAATCTTGTCCCTTTTTAATACCCAGGTTTCTTTCTTCTCATGTCCCCTCCCTTTATCCCAGGCGGTGAAAAAGCGGGTGAGGGGCAATTCAGAGGGAGCCGCCCGCCCAGGAAGACTCCTTAATAATTTGCTACTGTGAGGCACAATCTCCCTGGTTGCATGTGAGTTTTTGGTTATCAATTAAGGGAGGGGGGAGTGTCCTGAAGACATTAACATTCCAATACCCCAGAAGCAGGTGACTTTGGCCATGATGAGGGGGATGTGTCCTGAAGGTATTAACATTCCTTTTTTCTTGAACCAGCTTTCTTCTTCCCAACCCTATTCAGCTTCCATCTTCCGATTCCTCTATTTACACTAACTGTCTGACCTTTCTTCTTCCTTCAACATCCCCCTGAATAGGACTGACCTACTGACGGGCCAGGGCGAGGTAAAATGGGGCTAGGGAACCTAGCAGCTCTGCTCTCAACTCCAGGAAACCTTTGCCAAAATGGTGGAGATGCAGGGAATGCAACTGACTCCATTCTTCACAGCCCATAACTGGGAGCCTCTCTGCTAGGGGGTGGATATGTGGAAAGCCATTGCCATTTGACCAGCTGAATCCTGAGCAGAACCAGGAGAGACTGAGGGTCCCTGAGAGGACACCTGTATCTCATGTGCTGGGAGTGAAGGATCCTCTCTGACCTGGATATTTCCTAGAAGACATCTAGGCAAAGATGCTTAAGGGGAACATGAAGCAATTCATTTTCATGGCAGAGAAGGGACATCCCAGCCTAAGGGAACAGAAGTTGCAGAAGTACAGGCCAGGACAGGCAACAGCCAGGAGGTCAGCCAGTTCAGTGTGGAGTGGGGGCTGGGAAGAAAGGGACAGAAAGAGGTAAGATCACAAAGTCGGCTATGTTTTACCCAAGGTCTTTTTTGCAGGAACACAGTGAGATTCCTGGAAACCTGAATCATCAAACCAGAGAAAACAAAACCCGAAAGATCAGACAAGAGATGTTGATGTTTGTACCATTGTGCCATTGGCTCCGGCAGGTTTGCCTTTCCTTTTTTTTTTTTTTGGTACCAGGGATTGAACCCAGGGGCACCCTACCTCTGAGCCCCATGCCCAGTTCTTTTTATTTATTTTTTTAAATATTTTTTTTAGTTATACATGGACACAATATCTTTATTTTATTTATTTATTTATATGTGGTGCTGAGGATTGAACCCAGAGTCACACATGTGCAAGGCAAGCGTTCTACCACTGAGCCACAACTCACTCCCTTTTTATTTTTTATTTTAAGGCAGGATCTCACTAAGTCACTGAGGGTCTTGCTAAATTGCTAAGTCTGGCCTTGAATTTACGGTTCTCCAGAGTAACTGGGATTATAGGCATGAGTTACGAAGCCAGGTTCTCTTCCCTGTTCTTGAAATCTGTAGGAGGAGTGGGGCTTCTTTCAAGGCTGTAAGAAAAGCAGGGTCCCATTCCTCTGGGAGACAGTGGGAGTTTTGTAGTAGGAGAAAGAGAGTAAGTGTTCACTGTGGGTAGAGAAGTTTCAGAGAACTTCCTAATACAGGAAGGGTGTGTCTTGTGGAATTATGTGGGGTTCACAAGTAGAGAGTATGTGTGTGTACACACATGGGTGTGCATTCATGTGTGTTTATGGGCATGTTGTGGCAGGTAGGAAGAACTAGTGCCCCCTTCCCACTGGGGCCTGAGGATGTAAGACTCAGAGGAACTGGAACCCAGGCCTCTCCTCCATCATCACCTTGGCCAGGCTTACCTCAGGCTAGCAGAAGGTGAACACCATAGCTGTGACCACTGAAGACTAGCTGGCCATCCACAAAATTCCCACATTCCTGAGTCTTACCTAAACCTAAAGATGAACACTGACAAACATGCCTGAAATTGAATTTCTTGCCAATCATGGGGTGGGGGTGGGGGTGGGGGTGGGGTAAGGGTCCAGAGTTGGCTATCTGGTATAGAAAAATAAAATAATGTGACCCCAAATGTTGGGGAGAAAAAAATTCACAACCAACATCCCATAAACTGAGTGAAAGATGAAAAAAAAAAAAAGACCCTGCAGAGCTTCTTACAATCAAGATAGAAGCAATAAAATTACAATAACTAAAGCAGCAAAGGTCATTGGGAAAGGGTTGTGTGCCCATTAAAATAAGGAATAATCTAATGTCAAGATCCAGCCCTGACAAAGGGAAGCCATTCCAACCAGGGAATATAAGTCTGGGCCCTTTGGTAAGTTATAGTTAGTGCTGGGGAATGTATGTCCAGTGCTAAATTAAGAACACAGAGTTGAACTGGGGTTGTGGCTCAGTGGTAGAACACTCACCTAGCACATGTGAGGCACAGGGGTCAATCCTTAGCACCACAGAAAAATAAAGGTAATGTGCCTATCTACAACTAAAAAATTATTTTTTCTTGTTAATATTTATTTAATCGTAAATTAATACACAGTATCTTTATTTTTATGTGGTGCTGATGATGGAACCCAGTGTCTCACACATGTGAGGCAAGTGTTTTACCACTGAGCTACAGCCCTAGCCCCTAAAAAACTATTAAAAAAGTGGAAGAACACAGCATTGGCCATGCACAATGAAACATGTATGTAAACCCAGTGACTCAGAAGGCTCAGGCAGAAGGATCACAAGTTTGAGGTCAGCCTGGGCAACAAAATGAGAACCTGTTTCAAAAAAAGTAAATAAATAAAATGTGCTGGGAATGTAGCTCAGTACTAGGCATTTGCCTAGTATGTGCAAAGCCCTGAGTTTAATTCCCCAGTACCACAAAAATAAGTAACAAGATGAATGAATAAATAAATAAATACAGCATTACTATGGCCCATGTACCTTTATCCTGAACTGCATTACCAAGGAGAGGTCAATGAAGTTCACTCTGAGTCACCAGTGAGAGGAGTGATTGGAGGAGGACAGGAAGCAGATCCAAAAGGTAGAGATCACTCCTTGGAGGAAAGGGTGTGTGAAGACCCCCACCCCAGGAGATGCAGCAGGGCCCAGCGAGAGGCAGAGCAAGATGAGAGTAACTAGGAAAGAGCCAGTCAATAGTGAGAGATTGAAACCACAGAGGAGGTATGGAAAAGAGAACCTTCCAGAAGGAGCTGGAATCAGTGGGCTTCACCTCTACAGGCACCTGTGCATCACCTCTGTATCACCAAACCCAAAGAAGCAATCAGGACAGCATCAATTTCCTCCCCACATTTAGGGCTTCCTTATTTTTTTTTCTTCCCAAACCCTCTGTACATTGCATAAGTGTGCAAGGAGGATCTGACCAATTATTGCAAAACCAAAGTGACTAGCAAGAGGACTGATTGGTGGGTAGGATCTTACTTTGACCAGTGACTCTCCACTTCTCTCTCTCTTCCCCAACCAACTTCTATTTCTCTGTCAGGATCAATATAGACATCTTGGGAGTTGGGGATATAGCTCAGTTGGTAGAACTGAGGCTTTCCTCGCATGCACAAGGCAATGGATTTAATCCCCAGCACCACACACACACACACACACACACCACACAATACAGATAAATAAATATCACATCCCTCAGGAAGACTCCTCCAGCCCCCCAAGTCTGGGTTAGGAGCCCTGCTATGGTCTTTTTCCTTCCCTGATTGTAATTGTACCTGTTGCCCCTGAGGGTGGCAGTTGCCTCTATTCACTAGCACATTCTAGTGCTGCTCACATGGCCTGGCATTTGGAAGGTGCTCCATAAACCTTTGCTGAATGCATGAAGTGATACTTCCTGACATTTGCCATTGGAGCCCTTCCTAATGGTTCCCAAAGGAGAGGCAGGTGGGCACATGTTATTTTCCTCATGAGGGCTGCCTGTGACTACATTCTTGAAGAAGTCCCAGTCATGTCCTTTGACCCAAGCTTCAGGGTCTGAGGCTTGGTGGCATGATTTCCTTCAATCCCTCATGACATCAATCCTCAGTCACTTCTCACTGCTAAACCCAATTTACAAGCCTGAAGACAAGACTCCAGACAACTTTGATGGCCTTTGGAAGAGCTTGGATTGGGATGGGCGGCTGGAGGTTGACCTTGCAGTCCTCCTGACCTGAACGGGGATGATGTTCTAATAATGTGGAGGTCCATTCTGCTTCCCCTCATTGAGTTTCTGGGGCAGGTGTCATCATTTCTGTGGTGAGATGTATAGGGACACAACCAGTCGTG